CGACCACTCGTGTGTTTTTGACATTTTATCTAGCACAGCCGTTTCGAGTGCCGCGGTAGTCTGCGACTGAGCGAGTTCAGCCATGAGCCAATATTGATCGACACTGACGTCGCCAAAGTTTTGGTCAGGTCTTATCTCGCTGGGAAAAATAATCCACCAGATCATATGTACTTGCTTCAATAATTCAGCTTTTCTGTGTTTCTTTGTATACTTATACTTGTATACTAAAATTTTTCTATTTAGAGGGCATACAGTTTAGCTTGGTCATATTCACGCACTCTCATCCTGTTACTGATTTTTTTCACCCCTTGTCAGTATTCTTGCTGCGTAAAAACCTTTATAAGCTACTGACAACTGTAATCATCAGTAATACGAATTATTTTTTTATTTTTCGAATTACTGACAATTTTTTCTTTTATCAGTGAGCTACTTACAACAATATACAGAATAAAATAACAAATTAGTAATCGCGCTGCGTAAAAATCTTTTAAGCTACTAATAAATCAGTACAGGTCTGAGAGTGCGTCGTTACATTGGTCCGACGTACCGCTATTTCAAAGACATTTTGGTTGGCGATGTGAATGTGTACAATACTTGAATCCAGTAAAACTAAGAGGAAATTTTAAATGCACTTGTCTCTTCAGGTGTATGGGTGTGTCTGTTTTGCAAATTACACGTCAGAATGAGGCCGACAGCCTCGTAGAAAGTGTCCCCTATTGATTCCGATTCGGACGGATCGTTACAGCCGAGGTCGGCGGGTTCTTGTAGTTATGACTGGCACCGCACCAATATAAGAAAAAGTAAATTTACTATCAGCATTTAATACTTTTAAAAAACGACTGCCTAAAAACAGAATTTTTGATCCAAAGATCAGAAAAGTGTTGCTCTGGCAGTTGCTCTGAATACACCCCCCAGCGATACAGATGTTCGATAATAAAGTGATACGGGTGTGCAGAAAAATCTGTCGAGCTGAAGCTCTGCGGCGTGGCAGCTGGAGTCTTTATCGCCGACTGCCATCGGCCCTCATCTGGTTAGTAAGCGGTCCAGAGAGAGAGGTAGAGGGGGCAGCAAGAGGGACAGGGAGGGGGTATACTGTGATGAAATGCCCGGCGAGGGGCAAGTACCTCTACTGCCACACCTCGTCTCGCGTGCGGTACTCTGGAGGAATAATAATTTAGCGATCGAGTGCGAACGGGTTAGGCGGTGGGGAAGGGGACACTTTGTCACAGAGGTGCACAGTGCTCGAGTCGCGGCTCCCCTCCACGAGACAGACGATTATTGGATATGTGCGCCTTTATACGCTGAGAACTAGCGTATCGACTGGTATAGGTACGACGCCCGCAGCCGTGTGGCCGTGTAAAGTAATCCCTTCCCCCCCTCGCGGCTCGTGGCTGAGCAGACTGACAAATATAATTTCTGATTTTTATAGTGTTTTACAGTAATTTGGCTTAGTTGTACTACACCGCAGTTATCGATTGAAAAAAAAAAATGTTTTCCATTTAAATAAATACAATGCTTTCAAGGTTATCATGTACTCGCTACAAGTAATGATATCAAAAAAGCAAAGTTTATTTCATTGATTGGGGAACATTCATTGGAAACAAGAACTTGTTTGGGTGGATGGCCATTTCAAATGTTGTCTTTTTTCCCAATATCTTTTTGGGTATTGCGCCTTTGTCTTCGCACGTGTATAACTGTATGCTCCTCCATTGTGATTAAATCTGATACGACCAGAGGCTGTCATTTCTAAAGGTGTGTGTGCAGGGGGGAGGGGGGGGGGCTGCGTGCCGCACCAACTCTTACTCGGGTCAGCTCGACCGAGCTCGGCCCGTCCGGTCCACCGTTAAAATTTATGCTGTACTTTGAAGCTAGATTCAAAAAATTGTAAAAGCATGACTAAAAGATCTTGGTTTTGAAACATCGGTTACTTGAAACATATAAAAAGGAGGGGAAAACGTTTGTTACAAAATTTTCAGACGAAACATCACGTCCGATCTTTTGCTTTCTCAAGTTCAAATGTATTTTTCTCGTCGAGTACACCGTCGGAGGAGCAGTCTCAGACCATGTGCTCGGGCCCCGCGACCCGGGCGGAGCGGGGTCAGGTCGATTCGCTGCGTGCCGGCGCGGTGAGCGCTGCGGGAGGAGGCTGATTGAAATGAAATATAAATTAAACTTCAGTTGGGGGAAATTTACGTTGCTATGAACAGAGTTTATAAGTACACACACTGTAAACTTTACGTTGCTTCTTGTAAAAATCACCACGGTAAAATTTTACCCCCGAATGGTTTGCCACCAGCGGTAATAAGATATATGAGCAGTCGGCTCGACAGAAACTAGTATTTATAGTTTTAGAGAAGAACCTTAGGCTTCGGTCCGCCCTTTTTCGTTGTTCTGATTAAATGATGTGCACGTGACTGACAATCATTTTGTCACGTGACGAATGTTCCATTTATCCTGAATGACAAATGGTTCGTCACATGTGGTATGATTGCTTCATCTCGCACCCCCTAATGACAATAAACAGCCTCGTAGCAAAAGTTGCGGTCACGTGACAATTTTGTCCAACAGCGTACTTAGATACTTGCGTAGCTGGAGGGAAATTATTGGTGCAGTGGGGCAAGGCAACACCACCATACCAGCTGATGGCGGACACTCTTTTGAAAATCCTGCATCGATCGTTCACATTTGATTGAAATAGTATCTGACCTACTGGCGCCCGCCGCTCCGCGCCGCCCCGCGCTGCACTGGCCGATCTGATTTGGTTTGATTGGCTGCGTGCGTTGCGTTGCGCGGCGCCTAATGCACTTTGTGGGTCACACGCATGATGACCACCCGCGAACGACATGAAAAAATGTGGACACATTGGCTACACTGGTAAAACAAGTGTGCAATATTTGCAC